GGGTTGTGATCCGTTGCCGGACACGGAAAAAGACAAAAGACAAAAAAAAAAAAAAAAGAAAACAATCTCAAAGAATCCAAAAATTCTTCACTTACAGATATTCAAAAGCAAACTACCTGAATGCTGCTTTGTAAGAACAACAGGCATAAATGGCTACTTTGAAAGCCTTTTCATGATTATCCTTCTAAGAAACTGGCACTGGTTTGGAAAAGCCGTCCTACACTGCAGCAGACTGCTGAGGTGCACTATAAGCGTTGGCGAAATTTATCCCAAAGAAGAAGTGGGATTTTTCTCATTTGTCAATATCCACATGTTTGTCACTAAAGAATGAACATGTAAACAACAGCAGAAATCCATTTGTAATAATATACCTTATATATGACAGCTATGACATATACACCTAATAACAGGAAAAATCAAATAATTAAGTGATAGGATGATTTTGTGGTTTTTTTTTTTTTTTGGTCTCCTATGTATATCCTAAGGCCAAAAATGTGAATGAGCATCTCTCCGTGGTCATAAACCTTAGGCCCACCAATTACTGCTCTTTTCTGCCTTATTTAAATAACTGACTTGTGACCGAAATGCCTGGAAATGTTATGTTGTCAATACTGCTAATTAACTTGATTAGATCAACTTTCATTTTCCTTAGCAATGTGTCTCACACTTTCCCAAACTATTTCTAATGACAGAAGAGACTAGTAATCTTACTTGAGTTTACTTAGCCATGTTTTATAGATGAGAAATTGAATCCCAAATGGTCATAGTTTGTCTAAGACAAAGTAACGGTATGTGGTAAAGTCTGGACTTGTTTAAGGCAATCTGACCAGAGACACTATCCTTAATCTTAATTATCATTCAATACTGCTTCCCCTTTATCTCTCCTTAACCCTTTGTTCATAAGTTCATGAGTTCATTAGCCTTGTGGTAGCTTGTCTCTAAGATGGAGATCATTAGTTCCTTCCCTCCTTGTATAAGCATGCCATATTGTGATGGCAGAAGTCACCAAAGGAAACGCAAACACTCGGAGAAACGGAGAAGTCAGATGATTTATTACACTGGTGGTCTCAGGGGAACTAACGTTCCAAAAACCTGAGCCCAGAATGCAGGGAGAACTGGAGTTATATACCTTTCCTGAGCAAGCAAGCAAGCTTTTCTATTGGCTCTCTGTCTGTATCCAGGCAGAGTTACACAAATTGGGGTCTTTACCAGGTAGTTAAATGTGGGTAAGGGGCTTCGGGTAGAGGGTTTCATGGAGATGGGGGATGTGGTCAGGGGCTTTTTGCAATGCAGGCTAGAGAGCAACTCCGTCTCTCATCTATACAGGAAATGCCGGCAGACTGAGGTTTAGCTTGGTCTCTCACTCACATAGAAAGGTCAAAAACTGACAGTCTTGCAAACTGCAGAGCCATAGAGTTCAGCAATGCATTCAGCTGTTAACTCTTAACACAACTCTAGATATTTCTTACATACAGGAAGGTATTAGCTGAAAAATTATAGTAAGGATTAAAACAAGGGGAGGACAAGGAATTTAGCCACTTCAGTATTACCACATCAAGTG